ACATATATTTATTTACGTTTCTCCCCAGGAAATCAGACAGAAATATAGCAGAGCTACTTTTTAACCATATTTTAAAAATAATCAGAGCAGAAACTGCTCAAGAGGCATTAAAAAGGGCTAGGTGAAAATGCTTTTGAGAGTTAGAAATTCCAGGATCATCAATCGCAACCATTACAAAAATGAATTACCCTTTCAAATTCTGATTTCTTTTCAGAGAAATTTCATTTGGCCTTTCTATTCAAGTTTTGAGGTTCATGCTTTCCAGATTTTCTATTCAACTAAAAGGATTAGAAGCTTTTTTCAGCATAGGCAAACTTCTTTAATATAATGGTGCCGTTCCACAAACCAGCTTGTAATATCAAACAATACAATATTAAAGCCCAGGAACTACAAAAGCTTAAACAGAGCAGTGTTACAGGCATCAAGCTTTGGGTTGTAACCTTCCTCTGGCATTCATGCCATGTCAAGCCTCTTTATGGTATTTGCTTTGCATCCACAGGAAGTTTGTTATGAGCAGCTACAGCCTATAGCTGACGACAAAGCAGGAAACCTGAATTAGTAAAAGCAATCTTAGTAATAGTGGTTGTCTTTCATAGTAACACATGGCATTTCCCTGAGAGCTAAAATTAAAAATAAAAAAAAAAATTGCAACCATCTTATTGCAGCTGGAAACTTTTAAACCTGACCAAATTTCATGTAGCTGCTCCTTCAGTTACAGTGCTGCAAAAGGCTTTGTGTTTGGGCAGGGCTAATTTCACATGGAAGGACAGGATGTCATGCCACAGCTATTTTAAAAGGCTGCTTGGAATTACTGTCACCACTGACTGAGCTACTTCAAAATCATTTAAATATATCAAAAAAAAGAGAGAAAAGAGTTCTGCTTAAAGAGAAGTGATTGTGAAGCTTGCATACCTGCAATAAATCTGAAACTCATCAGAAAATATTTGCTAAGAAGTTCCCATTGGGCTCAGAAGCCATTGTGTGCAGGATTGCAACAATGAAGTCACTTGCCTTTTTTCCTCAGTGTAGATGTACCTCTTTAGGTGGCCTGGGGGTTGGTAGAGGAAATGGTAGTATTCCTTTTGCTACAAACTGCAAAAGGAAATGCTGTTTTAGAGGTCTTGGCAAGTCTGAAAATGGACTTTATTTTTTCTCACAATTTTCAGCTTCTCTGCTACAGTTCTGTACTCTTTATGCTTTGACCCTAGGAGCAGTATCTTGATTACACTTTGTAGGATGTAACAGCTGAATTGATGCAAAGCTTAATTTATTCAAACCTAGCTCTCTCTCTTTAGATATTGAAGTGAGGTTTTGGATAAAACAGACTTTATAAACAGGAAATAATGCAACACCAAGGTTAGTTTATTCTACATTCTCTATTATCTGTCCCTGGAAGTGAAAAACAGCATCACTGTACATAAATGTTGAAGATGTGAGGCTGTAAACAGACAAAGATCAAGTTTTCAAAAAGGGAAAATAATTTGGGGTGAAAACTGTGGGAGACATGAAAGATGAATTCTTAAAAGCACCTGGCTCATGAAATCTGTGTCTAATGAAGAAAATACTCCAGAAGTCCTGTTTTCCAACTCCAAGGGAAGCAAAATCAAGATTTTGGTTCTCAATGCATACACACGTAAGTGATTTCTGATTAATCCATGTTACTACTACAATGTCAGAGGCTTCCAGTGATTGTTTTGGTTTTTTCTCTGGATGGATGATTTTCCACACTTGAATGACTGATGAATCAGAAATGTTTACATCTTAGTATCTTTTTATTTCTGCATAATTAATAAGTCATAGATATATGGCTGGATAGATTTATTATTTGGTATAAATAATAATAAACTAATGATTAGCAGATATATGATTCAGTAAATCATAGATATAATAGTAATCATATAAATATAAAATGTACCATATATTTGATGCAATGTGATAGGTATGTTCTCATAACAGTATCTTAATACAACCTAAGATAATCCTCTGACCTTAAATTTATTATATGACATATGAAAGAAGTAGGATAAAAAACATGCCTCTCATTAGATATCCAAATATTCGGGTCAAGTTTTAAATTGTATATGGGAAATTCAGAGTTAAAATTTACTTTAAGCTGAACTTAAAATAGGAAACAAGATTTTTGCTGATTTATCACTACCAGTTTCTCTACTCTATAAATAGAGTTTTATCCTCAGAACTCCTCAACAGATATGGATTAGGCTGGAGGCCCTCAAAGATGGAATGGGAACTGCCTAATTTTTTTCCTGAATAAGAAATGTTTTTTTTCCCTTCCTTCTGAAAAGGCAGTTGTCATGCTGAATTGTACTGAATGTCCCCACTAGCCAGATGGTGGGGAGGAGGGCCTACGATACGAGTTTCAACTCTTTTTAAATTAAATCCTCCTCTGGTGCTTCTTGGCTTGTTGCAGATGCACAGAATGCAGCTGACATTAGCTGCTGAATTACTGGGAGACAGAGGGGCACCTCAGGGCTCTTTTAACCTTCCCGTTGCGACAGGCTGCTAGAATATACTTTCCCAATTCATATGATACAGCTGTGGGGTTTGTCCCTCCCATAGCCATTCCTGTCACTTTCAGCTGGGGCTGTATCCAACCTTTGGTGATGCATGAACTGAATATGTGATCTATTATTTAGAGTCAGGCTACTAAAGATGGTGATGTTGCTGGGTAATATTTTAGCACCTATTTTCAAGAATGACAGGAGCCTCCTTTGAAATGTGTGTTTGTTTTTTAATTCCCTTGCGCTGAAGTTTGATATTCATTAGCAGTGGTATGGAAATACTCTTGAGCACTTGCTCCCACCTCCACTTTGTCCTAGCACAAGCTTGTGCAGTTAGATAGGGAATGAGGTCACAACAACCTTGTTAAATTTGGGTATTTTCTCTAAGTGTACTTTACTAAGTTTCTAAATGTTACATAACCTGTGTGCACAGTTTTTATTCCTCCCCCCTGCAGCCTTATTGTTAACTTTGACTAAGAAAGCATCTGAATATAGATTTAGACTCTGATTTCACCATTTGGACCTATCTTAAAGTTAAGGGTCTTTATGACAGAGAACATAGTTGCAATAGAAGCATGCTACATTAATTGCTTTTATCAATAACCTTTACCAGCTTTAAAAATGTGACCTCAGACCACTCCTTTTAAGACATAAGGGAGGAAAAAATTCTCTGTATATTTGACGCCATTTACATGAAAGTTGTAGTAATACTAAAAATAAAAAAGTATATAGACTCTCCTGTAAAACAAAAGTTTGTAATGAATTCCTCCCAACCCGAAAAGCTGTCACATGCTTTCACTTGATAACATTTTTTGGCTCTGAGTCTGAATAAAATTTCATAGCCAAACATATTATGCTTAAGTGTGTTATCAAACAAATCATCATATTCTTGCCAGGAGCTGAAATTGTATAACTATGTAAACATCTGTTTATTAACTGCCAGCTCCTCACTGAGTATCACCTTTGCCCTTTTTTACTCTCACCCATAGTCTTGAAGAACAATTTCCAAGAGTCTTGGCAAGCTTACTTGTCTGTAATATATGCAGCATTCCTGAAATTCTTGGCACATTAACCTTGAATCAATTCAAATGAAAGTACTTTGCTATTGCTGGTTTTTTTAGCTGTTTATAGTTTCATTGCTGAAATGTCTTTATTCTCCACCACAGACAGCTTGTTATAATGTAACTGAAATAATTTACAAGTAAATGGGGTGCCTTCTTTGCCATGTAATAAATTGCAGTAATCCTTCAGAAAGACATAAACCTTTACTAGGGAAGAGTTTTCCACCTTCTGCTGTATTCAGGCCACAACATGATGGTAGCTGCAGCTGGCAATGCAGAGGAGTGCAGTCTTTGTCCTGTAGCAGACATCCTAGCACAGCATTTTGCTTGCCTCAGCCAAGACTTCCAATAGTAACTTGCTTCACAGCATATTCCAATTATAGAGCCCATGTTTTTTGGCTGTCTTTTACAGTCAATGTGAAACTAGATCTTTACTTCACAAAATGTCTCTGGAAATGTGAAGCCTCCAGTAGATGGGATAGAGGCGCTCGTGAGAGCTTCCACATTAGCAGTGAAACTTTTACTGGAGTAGTTAGGTTTGAAAACAGCCACTGAGGGGGAAACAGAAACAGCTGAAGAGCTCTGCGAGTCCTAAATAAAGGGAAGGGAAACCTCTCTGGAAAATGTGCAATTAATATTTTTAACTATTTCAAAATAGTGCAGCTGAAGGAAGAAAATAGCAGATGAATACTAAATATGTGCATGAGATGGAAGGTATTAAAGAAGAAAAGTATGGAAGATGAAATGCAGGTTTGAGATAAGGAGATGAGTGCTATGGTCAGAAAATGAATTAACTTTGTCTCTCCCTGAAGGATAGATCAAACCTGATTTTCTTGAATGCTCTGAGTATACATTCACAACAGTTCAAAATGATTAAAGGTTTTAGTCCTGGCACTGCTCTACACTGCCTTACTCCACTAGTTCTGGGAGTTCAGCAGTAGAGCCTTTCTTGAAGTGGGCTTTCTTCTTGGCAAACCACTCCTCCTGAGCTGGGTTATCAAGAATGGAGAATGTCAAGGCCAGCGCAGAATCAGCAGAAGGGCAGTCACAGAAGCCTGATTTTATGTCAACTTTAATTGCTGTAGTGCTGCACCCCTTCTCTGAATGTACAATATTGGTAGTGATGCTGCCTAGGGATGGGATGACATGGTTAAATTCAAGTGTTTTAAAAATCAGCGAAATGTAATTTAAGACTCCCATAAACCAAAGTTCTTTAATTAGCATAATTGCACAGTGTCAAGACAGGGCTGAGCTAAGGTAATTTGAAAATGTAGTTATGTTTCATACATCTTAAGATGCTCAGAATTATAAAATTTAATGAGCACTTATTTCCTCTGGGAAAACTGTACCATTTTTCTTCTTTTAAACTTGAACTGATTTTACATACACACACACACACACAAAAACATTTGAACTTTAGGTGGTCTTGCCTTGGATTTTTCTCTGGAGAATTCAATTTGGAGATGAGGTGATTGCTTCAATCTGCTATCAGTTGAACAGCATGGATGGAAAGGATGTGGAGATGAAATTTGCAACACAGGCTTTACAAATGACTTGCCATTTAAAGCATCTAAATGAGAAGCTCCAGTATCATCCCTCCCCTGTCCTGACTCCAGTCATACAAGAACCCTGTAGAGGACTGTAAAAGCACAGTGAGTTTTTGACTTCCAGATGAAAGACAACAAAAATTGTGATTAAATCAAATTAGTTTGTCTTACTAGAAACCAGTTTTTTTTCTTCTATGAAAGCAAATTTATTCTCAGTGTATTGAGGGCTGTTTAAGTTACACCTAAAGCAAAGCAAGCAAGCAGTGGAGAAGCCTGTTTTGACAGAAGGATCATATATTAACCCTTTTGGACCCAAACTGAACTGCTGTAGAAAGCTTTGTCCAGATTAAAATATTATCAATGATATGGCTCAGGAAAATACCTCTTGTTGTAATGTATAAATAAATTCTTATGAGATTAACAGAATTTGTAACAGATTTCAGTAGCATGACTCAACATTGACAGGCTTTAAGCAAATTCATCTTGAGAAGGATACTATAAAATAATACTTTAAAATAATCTGTAAACTCACTTCAGAGCAACAAGTATTTCAAGTGCTGTTGTGGTCTGACAAGTGACTTCAACAGAATTCTGTATAATAAATCTCTAATCTGTGAACCATGCAGTTAAGGTATCCTTGTTATGTTTAAAATACATTTTACTGCTTTTGGTAGTGCTGTAGTACATGGGAGACATTGAGATGAAGCTGAATTGATTGAGACTAAAGCAAACCAAGTTCAGGTTCCCTATAAACAAGCTGCAGGTTAAGGCCTATCTGTTTAATGCCATTAGAGTAAATTCTCCCTTTTTTGCTTCCAACTGATTGATGGTACTTCCTGGACTGTAATGAATTTTCTACTTTTTAATTTTTCCAAGCTTTCCAGAGGCCTTTAATTCTTCTGAAGAAATATAAAGGCAGCTAAAAACTGGGGATGAGGTGGTGGTGTTTGGGTGGCAGGAACTCTGTTTTATTGATGCAGAATACCAAGGTAGTGCTGTGTGGCATTAAAACCTGGTAACACAGCAAGAGAAGGAGAATGCCTGGGGCAGGAGGCTGCTTAATTTACCATTGAACACTCATGAAACTCTGCTCTCCTGAGTGTAAACCTATTTCCAGAAGGTTTGCTTGCTTTTATGAAGTATTTTCAGGACTGTGAACTAGAGAGAAAAAATGCTAACAATCACCAGTGTTCAGTCTTTTTTTCCCCCAAACTCATCAGTGTTGCATATCATTTCAAGTACTGCTTTTTTAAAAAAGAGATTCTAACTGTGTCAGTTAAAGACTGTTTGTGTATGTTTTTCTAGTTTGTATATGTATTTTCATTGGAATTCTTCTGTTTGGGCTAGACATGTTTGCTCACTGGAAATTCAGAGGAGCATTTCACTGCAAGATTTTTTTTCAAGATTAGAAGAAGTAAAACAAATATTATTGTAATTTGTGAGTGCAACTGGCTATGACAGGTTACCGTAAGCAAAGCCTTGTTTTAATTTCAGACTTATCTCTACAATCATATTTTAATAATGTGCTGTGGTTTGCCAAATAATGCCTTTGCCACACACTTTAATGAGGCTTCCTGAAGATATTAAGGCTGTCCTTATACTCTTGTGTATCAAGCTCACATTAAGGATGGGATTTTTGAAGAAACAACATTTAGCAGCAGTTGTAAACAAAATACTTTGAGCATTTTTTATTAAACAGCTACTGTTTGCAGGTGTGGAATATGGCAGAAACTGTACTATAATTTTCAAGGATGGATATAGTCCTTGTATAATGCTGAAGAGGCACTTCCCAGCTGTCTGGCAGCATCACAGGCTGTAATAATGGCAGATGTACATAATGTGAAAGAGATTAAGCCTCAAAGATGAAACTTTTTCAGTTGTTGCTATAGAGTATGACTTGCTTTTGACTTCTTATGAGATACCTGAACACAGAAAGCTTCTCAGTATGCAGACTTTGTCACACATATTTAGGTCTCGTTTGTGAACAATCTCAGTAATGTTCAGGACCTCTCACTCTTCTCCCCAGAACTTTTCACAATGTAAAGAAGTCCAAACATCTTCTGGATGTAAACAGTATTAGGATCTACAGGCTTTGTTTTTTTCTTCCATAAAATATTTACCTAAGCTTTTAATATTTAATGATAGCATATGATATTGAAAGCAAGACCTACCTGTTTTAACAAAGTAACTAAATATTTTTCTTGTTGGGTGCATCGGTTTTGTGTAGAAATTGTGGCATTATAACTGTGGGTGTGTCATGAGTATCTTGAAAGGGTTCTTAGTATGCTTACATATAAATTAACAGAAGCACTGTCTTGGGAGAACAGTCACTGCTACTTGTAGTGGGATACTTCATGGAGTAACCATGGAGATACTCAAGTGACATGGCAACTACATGGGACAGGCCAGGTAATCTCAAACTACTAAACCTGCCTGTCGTCACCTTAATTTTCTGAATATAAATATTTGGAGCCTTTACTTTAGGGTGACACTTCTAACTCTACTGCTCAAAATACATTGACGAATCTATATTACATTAATACTCAAAGTTATCATCAAAAGCTTCAAAAGAAGCAAGGATGCTCTTTAGCTTCAAGAGGCACACTATTATGGGTTGTGAGATTAATTTGAAATGTTAAAATTCAGTTCTGTTAAATGCTGCTTATGAACTGACAAAGACTGAGTTTGGTTTCTTCTGCTGCTTAAGAAAAACAAAGTCAAGGTGACAGATCATTAATCATGAGATGTCAATGCAAGTGCTTTTTTCAGACCATGTTGTCACAGCTCCTTTAGAAATGGGATGTAAAGCCTACAATTAGCACATCTTCATTAGATTTTGACCTTGAAAGTTGAAAGGTATTTTGTTCTCACTAGTAGTGCACATCAGACCTTAAATTAAAATTAATCATCTCAGTGGAAGTTACTTTTACTTAAAAACTTCCCCAGCTGAAGAACTCAGCATTGCAACTATAATTTCAAATAATATTTCTTTGGTGTCTAAATGAACATAATTGAGTTGATAAAGCATTTTTTCCCTCCAGAATTCAGCTAGTTATTAGGGTTGGTGGTTCCATAATTGGTAGCTAAAATCTACCTTTAAAAGTAGTTACCTGATGTGTTTTAAGATTTTGTACTGAGTCGATTTTTTTTTTTTTCTGCTAACATTTACAACAATATGATAATTTGGTGGCGCAAAACCAAGCAGGGTTGCCAGCATGTTCTGTAACCCAAATAGGAACTACCGAAGGCCTTAAGATGCCACTGGGGAGATTCTCATTATTAGAAAGGAAAAATTCACTTTTAGGGCGATCGGGCGTTCAAATAGGCTGCCAAGGGAGGTGGTGGAGTCACCATCTCTGAAGTGCTCGAGAGGAGTCTGGACTTGGCACCAAGTGTTACCGTTCAGGGGTCTCAGAGGTAGTGCTGGGTGCACACTTGGACTGGATCATCGAAAAGGTCTTTGCCAGCCTCGGTAATTCTGATTCTACCCCATGTGCGTGACCCCGGTTTTCATGGGAGGGCAGCAGAGCAGCGCTCTGAGGCCAGCGGGAATGACGGGGTTGTTTTCCCACGCCAGGAGGGCCGGCCTTGGCTCCCGGCGCTGGCGCCGTGCCCGGTGGGGCCGAGGGCGCGGGCCGGGCCCCTCAGCACAGCTCGCTCCCCTCGCCGGCCGCTCAACGCCGCTCCCGGATCCGCCTTCTCGCGGCACCGTGCGGCTGCTGCCCGGGCAGGGGGCCAGGTGGGCACCGGGCGGGCGCCTCCATG